CACAAAGAAGTCTTCCAAAATATCCTGTCATCCATCCTACATCTTGTATTTGAAATTTAATGTTATAATAAGAAAACTTCCTGGAAAAGCACCAGCCTACCTTCAACTTGATATACTAGTCATTGCTAACATTTAAGTGGTAAAATGTTAATCTTTTTTGAGTGCTATGTACCACAGGAAGATTACAGATACGATCTGACTGAATTCTGCTGTGCTTAGTCATTCTGTTAACTTTCTGGTTTGAACAACCTGCTTTAGAGCAATAAGCTCAGTTAACGATATATGAAGACATAACTGGATTAATGGTTATTCATCTAGCATACAGCTAGACCTGAATTGTGTCACTTGCAAACTTGTTCTCATTTATCCTAAAGTCTGAAAAGTTGTCCCAGAAATACTGTTTGCAATTGTGATTTTCAGAACTGGCCTGTTGGTATACCCTAAAGACGTGAACAGCAAGAATTGTAGAAAGATTTGTTAGTAACAGTTGTTTGAAAATGTCTTTTCTGTGTTGTGGGCAGAGATCAGAAATACCTCCTCTGACTTCAACACAGTGTGTTACGGTGGGAAAAATAAGGACATGGGAAGTATATCCATCTCCATTGATCTAAACAGCATGAAAGTTGAGTAGCTATGTTTTCTGATCAGAACTGCATCGAAGTTCAAAGAGCCAGAGGGTTGGCTTAATTGCATTTCGATAGGTAATATTACATTCTTTGTATGACAGTGTAGTAGCATTATTTTAAAGAAAAATTATTTCAGTAAAGTTATGATCATTAGTGAGTATGTAACAGATCTCTTAAAACACCGGTGTATTATCATTTGAGAATCCCTAGTGCAAACCAGACAGCTTGGCTCTACGTGATCCTTATGAGTGGGGTACATGCAGTGGATGAAGGGTCTGCGCCTAGCTTCTGTCTAGATCTCCTGTATCCTTGGAAGAAGTATCACATAGCAAGCTAACTGAATGTTACGTTCCAAGCCAGGTGCTCTTTGGAAAGGCTGGAAAGAGAAGGTGAGAGTCAGGCTGAAGGGCTTATGGCATTTTCATAGCTGTGGCAGAAATGGAAAATCAAATACCTTGTCCAAATCTTCTTTGTGATTTGGCAGCAGATGTGCTTATGTTAATCTTTTTCTTTGAGATTTTTAAATCCTTAAAAAAAACCAACCAAACAAAAAACAACCAGTAAATTCCCATAATGTTCCTTATTCATTGAATCAGTGACAGGGGGAAAAAAAAAAATCTTTTCAGAGAACTCTCAATTACCTGGACCACCAGTCCAGTTTTCCAGCAAGACAGTATCATTGCTGTGACTGCAAAAGGCATAATGCTAGTCTGAAATGTAGGCGGTGACTTATTGTTTCTGGTGGCACAGTGTATTAGTCCTTTTGTTTTGTACTGATGCACAGTCTGTACAACTACTTCAGAACAGTGTCTGTTGCCTGCACTTCTGGAGTAGTAAGCCTGTAGTGTTTGTATCAGCATCCAAATCCTTGAAGACCCAACGAAGCCTACCTACGCTTGGGGAGTTTAACATTATTTCATTAGGCACTGCTAGATGTTTACAGCCTTGTGCTTATACTTCTTGGTGTGGAAAATGGTATAAATTGACATGTTGGCTAGCTTTGAGTAGTGACGAAAAACATTTGTGAAGATAACCAGTGTCACCTTGTTGGCTGCACAATATCAATCCATCCGTTTAATACTGGAAGCTGACAAAATTGAAAGACAGTAGAAATTCAAGACCTTTTCTGCAGGAGGAGATGTAGCTGGCAAACAGTCTGTTGGCGTAGTGCAGCTCAAGAGTTCTTTTGGCAGAATGCATTCACATTTGGCTGCTTCTGTTGGCAATATATTTCTTCATGGCTTCAGGTTGTATTGACAAAATATATGTAGCACTGTAAGAGGATCTCAGTAGATGTGCCTGTAGTGCTCTGCAATGCTAGTCTTGAAGCCAAATGTGCTAACTATTCATTCTGCACTTGTTATGGCATCGTTAGAGCTGAACGTGGGGACACATGGAAACAGCTAGACTATCCAGCAGGAAAAATACTGGGTAGTGCTGGAGTTTTAAAGTTTATTCAAAAGTGTATTTACTTGGCTGTGTGGATAGGTTCTGTGCCTGGTTAATTAAGTAGTCTGTGCAGATAAGTTGGTTCCTTGACCTTCCTTAGGCAGCTGTTGTTGCTTGCTGTTGTAAGACTGCAATGGTAGAGTGTCGATTACCAGTTTAGGAAAAATGGCTTCTTTAGATCAATTTCTTTTCTGTTTACTGTGTAAACTATTCCACATGGGAAGTCATACCCTCCAGATCCCAGTCAGTCCACAGAGTTGGGTCTGGTAGCTTAGGAGTCGTGGAGTAGCTTTGGGCATCCATGCCCTTATGGAGGGAACTGGTTGCCCAGTGGTCTGGAAACAATGGAAACTCTAACAGCTACAAGAAAAAGTCTCTGAGAGGAGTGAGTGTATGCCACAGGCTCACTGGGTGGGGTTCATCTTACCAAATGCAGACAATTCCTTTTCTGGTCTTCATTTATTGTGTATGGAAGAAAATAGGCATTTTTATGGCTTGGGTTTTTTTATTTTGAAGCACAATTTATCTTATCCCAATGTCACTAAAATAAAGCAGATGAATCACTCCCTAAATGCCTGTTTTCTCCATTGGTTTTAAAGAAGGCCTTAGATGACTCTTGCAGCTCTAAAAGTTGTTCTGCAACTGACTAACACTGGTTGTAATGGGTTGCCTTTTATTTTAATGGCTGTAGGCCAAGAGAAAACTTGCATTGCTTAGGGAAACTGGTTTAACTTTCCTAGCTTTTTGTCCCTGATTTTCTCAAGGGAGCTTGAAATGGTGCAGGAATGCATAGAATTGTGCTAGCTAAAGGTTATTTTTCCTAGTGATTAATAATTTTACAATAAAGAAGTGTTGTTCCAGAATGCAGTGTCAAATTCATCCATGCCTAAAGTCTTCAGCGTTTTAACCTATACTCCTAGGTTGTGGGGTTTTTTTTTTTTTTAGTTTTTCTTAGGAAAGTAGACTTTATGTGATCAGATATGCACAGTGGGTGTTTCTGGAAAAGATGCTGCTGGCTGATTATTTCTGCTTCCAGGATTTGAGCAGATATGGTGTGCCCTGGCTAACTTCCAAATTACTGGATTTTACTTCCTGGAGACATCTTGCATATTTACTTCTTTTTTTTCTTAGATAATTGCTGTAAGTTCTTCACTTTTTGTGGGGGTGTTTGGTTGTTGGGTTTTT